CACTTCACTTGGGTGACCGAATATGGAGACTTAGAATTCGCTAGAACTTGGCCCACAGAGGTATTTGACTTGATAATCACGAGTATTTTAGTAATTACGCTTGACAGAGCCTTTCTGTCATGTCTACAGTAGGAAACGATAAGGCGGGAGGGGTGGGGGGGGGGGGTATTGAGACAGAATTTAGAAGAAAGGTATTGAGAAGGAATTTAAGCGGGGGTGGGGAGGTTGTCTTCGGCGGTTGTGTGCCACACCTCCTACCTGACCCTTGTCATAAGCTTTTTCCTAAGCAAAATGTGCTTGTTAATCGCTTACCGATAGTCGATATCCAGGTATTAATCTGGAAGCACAGTGTTCCCCCCATCGCAAGACTCAGACTGATGTTATTTCGATGTCTTATTATCTTTTTCGCGCAGATTGAGAAAGATCATAACTTACTTAGCCTCGCAATAGGCACTGCATATTCGAAATCAGCGTCTCAAGCCTGGCTCTAAACGAATGACTCGTCCACAAGGTAAATAAGTGAGGTACTGCTGTCATGCTGTCCCTTATGCTGTCATCTTTGAAAAAGTTGATTTACCATTTTAGTATTTTCCATCTTGTTGACTTCAGCCCTTCTTTCGCCAAATGTTGTCTCGTCTTTCAATTGTGACAGTCCCCATCTTTTCGAACATTTAAAGCAGCGGCTTGACAGAATGACAACTTTGAGATATTCATCGTTTTCGGTTCCCTTGGATAATCTCAGTCCAAGACTGCGTTTTGCAGCTTCAAAAAATCTCAATAATCCGCTTTTCCAGACGTGAAAGTGTGTTTGGGCGGGTCGCGAAAGTGATTGCTGAGGCCAATAATGCAATTGCCGGTACGTCTCCAATCACGAGCCAATCGCGTTCTAGAGGGCAGGACGCCGTCCGCCCAAATAGCACATTTCACTTCTGGAAAAGCGTGTTATTGATACCTTTCAAAGCTGCAAGGTCTTGGACTTAGCTCTTACAGGGGAACCGAGAACGATGAATATCCCAAAGTTGTCATCTGGTCTCCGCCTTTAACTTTTCACAAATTTGGGTCTTTTGATTGATTTTGAGACTCGCATTGGTTGCAGAAATCTAGGCATCTCTTTTCGAGAAATTCTGACAAAGAGAGAATGACCACCATAGAGAATAGCGTAGTGTTGCGCACTAAAATAGAAACTCATTACAGTTGTCGTCTTCAAAAAAGGTGTTTTGTCCTATGAGCATTTTCCAACTCTTCTATCTTCTTGCAGTTAGCATCTTTTTATCGAAGTACCTGTCTATGACAGAGTTCTCAAATCATGATGTTCCACATCTTCTTGAGCTACCAAATTTCAACAAATTTGTTTTTTGATTTAGTTTGAGAGACTACCATGGGGTTACAGTTTCAATCTTTCTACTTCGATAGATCCTGACAAGGGGAAGATGGCAAACATGCGATATTATTGCGTATTCACTTGTTGGAGATAAAATGGCAAATAATTGTAAACGCAAATTTTCCACGGATATGCAAGCACAGCTTGATCAAATCACAATAGCGATGAAGAGAGAAGACGAATACTGACTTAAAAGCGAATTTCATTGTCGTTGCTGGTATCATACAGTCGAGTAGATTTCCTGCTTAATATAGTGTCCCTGCAGACGCGACAACGCTGGGGCGTCAATAATTGCCTGACGAGTTCCCGAGCTAGTGTTTTCCAGCGTTTTCTATGCTTATTCTATGCTTTTTAGGTGATTCGTTGCTGATAAAGAGGAAAAGGGTAAGTTAGAGAGTAGTTTCTGTATTCTGAGAAGGTCTATCATCGCATATTCACAGATATCCAAGTGGAAGCAGTTCGCGTCAGCTTCTTGTCTATTTTTTTGTCACTTCATGTCTCTTTCTTCTTGTGAGGTACTTCTTTGAACGCTAGTGGATTCTTACGATTGACTTATTGTCTTTATCACATAAAATACTTGATTAAAATGCTATTTCCTGTGAATGAAAGCCGAAGTTGCTGCAAAACAAGCCAACTAGCGTTCAAAGAAGCGCCTCATAAGACGAAGGTTCGAAAGAAGAAGTGACAGAAGAAAAGGAAATGACAAAAAAGTAGACAAGAAGCTGACGCGAAATGCTTCCGCGTGGATATCTGTGAATGTGCGATGATAGAACTTCTCAGAAAACAGAAACTACTCTCTAAGTTACTCTTTTCCGCTTTATCAGCAACGAATCAACTGAAAAGCATGAAATAAGCAAAGAAAACACGGGAAAACACTAGCTCGGGAACTCGCAAGGCAATTAGTGACGCCCCAGCGTTGTCGCGTCTGCAGGGACACTATATTAAGCAGGAAATCTACTCGACTGTATGTTGCATATTGTAATGTTATATTGCAATGTTCCAAAAATAATTTTTATTTCTTAGACCAGCGACACATAGCGCAGAACAGACTCATGAAAGCTTTGTACAAATTCAAAGAAGTCTTTCTTACTCTTTGGCATGGTTGAGGTTGATATCCATCGCAGTTTGATCAAGAAATCACTAGAGACTACAATCTACGTTTTTTGACGAAGTCACTTGATTTCCTTAAAGTAAATAACTCTTTTGTGATAAAGTGTTTCGAGAAGCTTTGGGTACCATTTTGTAGAGCGAGGTTCAACTTAGATTCACAGTGTAGAGCGGATCGCCGACCTCTCATTCCTACTGTAGGATTACGGTAGCTTTAAAGAGGGTTTTGAGCCATGAAAGGCCATATTTTGTTCCAAAAAGAAACCAAAACAACCTAAAAACGCTCACACTGGGCTAACTAGAGTTGCTGTCTCTAAATGTAAAGTTCGCAACTCTTCGTAATGCTTCATTAAAAAATTATGCGAGGTAAGCAGTAGCAGACGTTTTTTAAGTGTTCCTAAAAAGTGCGTTCTTATTCTTATACACCGTTTAGAAAGCTTCTCAACCTTGTAAAGAGTTGGGTATTGAACTCAGGGTCCATAAAAACCCTATAACACACCCTATATTACGAATTTCCACATTTTTTCGAAAATTTTTGAAACACCCCCTTTTTTACAGTAAAACCATATGTTTGAAGTTTCTACCGTACTCCTACAATAAGAATGAGCGATCGGCGATTCGCCCTACACTGCAAATCTAAGTTGAACCTCGCTCTACAGAATGGTACCTAAAGCTTCTCGAAACACTTCACTACAAAAGAGTTATTTACAATCAAACAGTGTGCACATTATTTTGGGACACCCTATATCTGCGCCTCAGAAGAATCCTAGAAAGCGTTTGGAAATTTCAATTCGAAAAGGGAACCTTAGATGGGTGAAGCAGCATCTACACTACTACCAAGACTTTCTACAAATAGTCATCGTGGCGAATGTGGCGCTCAATTAGAAAGTGCGAAATTACTACCCTAATAATCTGATAATGCATGTGACGTTTACAGCTCATCGGTTGACTAAAAATAATTTTCGTCTTTATAATGGTTTATAAAATGTCATAGATAAATTTATGTGTGAATGTATGGTACCACTGAAAACAATAAATCAAGGGAAATATTAAAAGGTCAAATTTGTTTGCTCAAAAAAATTTTTTTCCGCATGAAAAAAAAAATTTTTTTGATGCGGAAAAAATGATGTGAAGCCAGGTTTATTTGCCGAATTTTCAAAAAATCGTGCTCCAAAAACAGATTGAGTGGGTGTAAAGTGCACGAATGGTACGTATGTTTTTGATGTTTTCAACCATTTGCATAGCCATAGATGATGAAATCCAAGCTGGAACCAAACTGACCTTCGCGGGCCAGAGCCTAGAAACTTTCGCATTATTGGCTATAATTCCAAAACAGCAGGTCGCAATCTTGATGATGGTTGACCATAGTCGAAAGAATGTGTATCCAGCAACCAAATTACTCATCTGTGCCTTACTACAGCTTGGAAACGGAACTTGGAAATGATTATTAATTGATTTTTATTCAATTAAATATTATTCATCCAAGTGATTTTTTAGAACTTCAGCTAGAGGGGATACTAACCATCATCGCTCGTGGTACCTAGGGAATGAGGCAGCGCTCGCGCGATGCGAATGAAGGGGATTGCACTTGAGCGCAAAAGCTAACCTTTTCTTAGAATCAATGAGTTGATTGATCCCGTGTTCACCTTCTATTCTCTTGATAAGCATTAGATTTTGTGCTTGAACGATTACTGAACATTTCAGATGGTGGCGCTGTACAAACGAAGAGTGTTCAAATAGGACGGTAGAAGCGCATCTTTTGCTTCTGCATAGCAGAAAATCATCCATTCCGAGTTGAAGAGACTCGGGCCGCTTTGCACAAGTATGATGAGAAAATGTCACTTGTTTTTTACCCCATTTGGTTGGTTTACTACCAGAAATCAAAGGAAAAACATGTTCAAGTGTGTTAAACAATTGTGCAACGTTCTCAAGACTCCTAATCTCAGATTTGGCGATATAATCAAAGTGTCAAACTCAAGTCACAGTCATACAAGGCCGCATTACCTTTTGTTACCGATTTGGAGAAAAAGAAGTTTCAAGGTGTCATGCTGCTTATCGCGCGAATATGAACAACATATTCCACCATGTGATTAAGCACGAAATGGAGCGCGACAGATAAGCAAGATTCCTTTGTAAAGATCAGCAAAATTCCGGAAAGGAGCGATATTCAAACCTAGCCAGAAATCTAACAGCAGACCCTTTCGAGCTCGGGTACTAACTTCGCTGCCTGCATCGCGCGTTTGCAGCCTTACGTGGGTACCCACGACCGATGGTGGTTGGTATGCCATATACATGAGGTCATAACTGTCTTTTGTCACGATAGAATTCTATGTAATGAGTATGTGATCGTAAAGAATGGTATAGTAATTATACCCAATTACAAAAAACCATTGCTAATAAACAGTTACTCAAATTGCTATAGAGCTTTGCAATTGCATGTCAAAGCGTAATTATTTATCATCCAGCCTAATAGATATATGAGCAACAAAAATTGACAAAGAATTATTTACAGATGAACCACTTTATGTGAAATTGGAGTCCTTGCGTTTGCCGGTAATAATGAATCCTCATCGCAATGGATACTATAGACAGAATTACGATAGTGCTGCATGGATGCACATAGCAAGACTGCTGAAGCAAAATCATACGGTAAATTTGACAAAAACATTTGTGAAAGCTTTGAATTTTTTCGTTCAACAGGATCAGTTTTTTCAAATGATTTAGGATTGGATTTGAAATGAGCAGAAGTTTTTAGGTTTTGGATCATTATACGAGATACGTGCTTTTATGCGATGCATTTTCTGCGGCATTCATCGGTCAACTGGATTACGGAATTGTATTCGAGCTTATTCGGTATGCTCATGCATCCGATGGTGGAGAACAGGTGTTACATCACTGCTACTTTTAATTAAAGCAGGTTCTCAAGAAAAGATGCTTGGGTCTCTAGTCAGTAAACTCTCTCTTAGCAACAATAAAATCGAATCAAAAACAAAAGAATGTTTTTGCGAAGCAAACGGACACAAAACATGCGAGGAGCAATCTCGATAGAGCAGGACATGCTTTAAAGGAAAGGCTTTAAAAATTCGCAAAGTCATGACTTACGCAAAGTTTGAAGCCGAAGTTCATACAAGGATTGCAAGTTCCTCTCTCTTCACCAAAAGTCTGCAAAACTACTTGCTTCATCATGCAGCAGACACATAACTCCAACTATGACACTTGCTATGTTTTTCTTGCTGCCTAGGAACAGAATGATCTTGATAATTGGCAATATCACCCGCTGGCAGCCTCAAGCATGGAGTGAAGGGCTCGACAAGGGGGTTGGTGGAGAGTGTTGTATTAGGTACATAGAAAGGGGGTCCCACAATCTTCGTTCGGGAGGGGGAGGGGGCAAAATCTTATTTAAATAAAGTTGCGTGGCGTTATTACGCGCTCCGCCCCGAAATTTTTTCTACAAGGTTAATTTGAATTTTCAAGAAAATCAAAACACTGAATGTATCCAAGTATAAACAAGCCACCACATTTTCATAACTAATATAAGTAACTTTCAAGAATTTCGCTACCCTTCTCAGTGAGGGCATTCTTCCCTCCCCCCCGTCCCTCCCCCTCCGCGCCTTCCCCCCGCGATCCGCCACTGCTGTGTAGATGGGGGGGGGGAGCCAAGGTTGCGATTAGGAACGCGGTCTTAAATAACAGGCAAAATGTCAAAAAAAATTTCAACAACTTAGGTTCGTGTTAATGTTTTTTTCAAAAGCGGTTGCAATTGTAAATAGCATACAAATCATCTCTACTAATCATAGTTAAAACGAGTTGAGTGGCACGTGAGAACTCCATCCTGTCGCTAATTAGTGTACCCAAATTTATTATATCGCAAAAAATGCAACGAGTGTCGAAATGGACGAGTTTTTTGCGGAAGTTTCACGCGCAGGGGCTATCTTGATAAAGAAGCAGCTCTTTCCTCTTTCACTTTCTGTTTTAGGTTTGCTAAACATGTTTTCATGAGTCTTATCCCATGAAGCCTGAGGAGAAAAAACATTCAAAATTCAAATCTTAGCTTAGTTTTAGCGTTTTCTCTCGCTTCCCGGCTTTCAGCCTTTTCGGAGCCTTCATGCTGAATCCCTATCTGGGCTTTGCAGCTCACGATAATAGCGAAAATAATTTTTTTCAAAGCTTTCCATGTAATTCGATCCGATTATAGCCAGTTTACAACAAAGTACAATTATTGCTGACACTTTGAAGGTCCTCAGTTGCAAGTTCTTGAACACTGCACATTCAAGCTCCTCTGATAAATGCACTTTTTCGAACACTAAAAGGGAATGAATTCAAGATGTGCCGGTAAAAAACTACAAGATTGGGTGGGTCATATCTCTTGCCATTTTGTGAGGACACTCGTAAGCTCATGGAAAGAGCCTACCCTGCGGAGGGGGTGTATCACCGATTCGTTGGCCGCACGGACTGCTTAAACGCTACGGACCACGCGCGGCGCGGCTGGAATGTCGCGAGAGCACGATTTGTACAATGACGAATTTGTATTGGGGCAAGCGCGTGCTCGGCAGTCATGTCCAGTCCGTGCGTTCAACGACTCAACTATACCTTCCTTAAGCAACATGTCGGATCACCTCTACTTCAAAACCGTTATTGAAGAAGTATAGAGGTGAACCGTTACCTGCTTCAGTCTTTCGTGTTTCCGTCCCAATAACGTCATATTCAAACAATCAACTTGATCTTGCATACAAATAACAAAATAAATTGTCTTTGTCTTATAGGGCATGAAACGTTGATTTCAAATCTGTTTTCGGTATTTGCAAAGCGCTTCTGGGAAGGGAGCTATGCGAAATTTTTGAGACAAAATTTCAAGGAGATTTGGCTAAGGTAAAAGAATGTACTGAAGTTTTTCCCGAGTTTGAAAGGAGTTATGATTAGCATAAGTATATTTAAAGGTATTAGTTGCATAAGCGCCTTGACAGTAATCATGACCTCATGCTCACAGACTACACGCCCGGCACGAGGTGGGCAATTGACAAGCTGGAGATCGTTTTTGGGGAAAAAGCAAGGGGGAAATCGTTTTTGCGGATTTCGGGCGGAGCCCCGGAAGAAGATTCCAAGTGCAGGCAAAAGAAGGTCGAATCATGCTTATTACCTTATACATTTAATCCATTGGGAAGCAGTTTTCTATGTCTCAACGAACAGCACAGTTCGCGCGCGCTACGCCGCGCCGCCGCTAATTGCCGTGTGCGCGACGTCGCATAAGCGAGCCGTTGAACAGCATGATTACATGATCAGTTCTCAATGCAGGCGGAACGATGTAGTACCAAATTAGATAAGCGAACGAAAAGAGGCTAGTAGAAACAAAGTATGAAATATTATGAAAACTTATGTGAATGCGAGGTGTAATAAGCATTTTTTTCAAAAATTTTGCAAAACTGGTAAATGAAGATGTGAATTCAAATAGCTCGTTTGCAGCGCACAGATGACCATACGGTATGGGACTTGGCAGATACATGAACACAGGTCTGCAGGGCTTAACTTACAAGTTTTATTGAAAAATTATGTGACTGAAGGTTGTGGCAAGCTTTTTTCTTAAAATTTATCACTATGAAGAAAATGGAAAAATGGCTCGTTTGCAGCGCAGAGAAAACGTAATCGCGCGAGACTTGGTGTGTATACGCGCAGTAGGACTAAGGAACAATGCATGAAAAATTATGAAAAACTTATGTGAATGAAGAGCGTCCCCAACTTTTTTCCAAATTAGGTGGTAAATCTGTTGTACACCTTAAGTTTACTACATGGTGAGATTTTGGTTCCGAAACTCCTCCTCTTGTCTTTGTTAGAGAACAAAATCTCATCATCAGCCTAGCTTTCTAACGAGGGAAGTCACTTAGCTTAGGTCGGCCTTTTGAAATGAGACACATATATTTAGAGTCAGCTCGGAATGCTGATTCCAAATATGCTGTCCTTAGCTGCGAAGCGTTCCTGTGAAGCGAGTTATGAACTTTTTAGTATGTATAACTGACATATAACTGAATATGGAAAGAAGGCCTATAAATGAAAATCTGCCTAAAAAAGTGGTGGGAAATCGAAATAACATCAAACTGAGTCATTTGCCTTTGATAGGGTGTTGTATGCATTTGAACTACTACTTGGATGACGATACCGTAGCATGCCCAAGTCGGTCAGTACTTTGCTTAGGAAAAAGCTCATAACTCGCTTCAGAGGAAAGCTTCGCAGCTAAGGACAGCATATTTGGAATCAGCATTCCGAGCTGACTCTAAATATATGTGTCTCATTTCAAAAGGCCGACCTAAGTTAAGTAACTTCCCTTGTAAGATGGAAAGCACGCCCCAATCAATCGGTACGCGCGGGAACGCGTCTCTCAGTCCTATGACTGCGTTACTTTAAATTTCTTTATCCTTCATCATTTTTCTTGTTTATTCTTCTTCCTGTATTCTATCTTGGTACAAGTGATGAGTTAGAGGAGTTTGAACATTTTGAGCGTTTTTGAGCGCTTTTGGGCGAAGTGTGGCCGGTGCTCTCGTTGCACAAGCACAAAGCATCGTTTTTGGGCTCAAGGGGGTATTCGTAAACAATTCTAGGATCAAAGAGGAATTCGTTTTGGAAAACCCCATTTGCCCACCTTGTGCCGGGCCCTGACTACACTTCTGAATGATTTTATCGTAGCCGCGCATTCAAATTTTCGGCTTGAAAAAACTTCTATAACTCTCCCCGCAAAAAGGCTTTGCAGTCGTCGAAAGCAGATTTGAATACAGCGTTCCAAGCTATATAGGACAGTGTATATCTCATATGGAAACTCCACTTCGACCAAGTATTCTTCCTTTGTTAGATATCTTTCTTCTTCTTTCTTTGTCCGGCTTATAAAGGTTCCCTTTTGTCCACCTATCATATAGGTTCCCATGATGCTTGAGGGCAGCGTCCCGACAAAAAACGGGTGCCCGGTTTTATGGCGATGTTAAAGTAGACCCCTACCTAAGCGATAACTGAAGTTTGGAGCGAAAAAGGGGGTCTATCAAGCCTGAAATTTGCTCCAAAAGTGGCCCGGATCTTACGCTAGGCCCGAATGCCGTCTGCACAGCGATTTCGAACTGCAAGGCCCAGAGCACGCACAGCGCGCACAGTCATGAGCGCAGAGTCCCGCAGCAATTCTGCGTCTCTGCGTGCATCTCGCACTCTCCCGAGCCTACCGTAAGATTCGGGCCAGTTGGCGGGCTTGTAAACTTCGCAGGTCCCCTTTCGCGCTGCAAACTTTTGTTCGCTTATTAGGGGGTCTACTACATTACTACCTGAGCCAGGTACTCCCAGTCTGTGGGACGCTGCCTTCAAGCATAATGGATGACAGGAGATTGGCCTACAAGTGGGACATTTCACTGTTTTGTGTGATCCCTTAAGGATCCCCAGGGGATCACATCACATATTCGAATTCGTTTATCTTCCTAAAGACTCGATGGAAATGCTAGAATTGTATCGAGAATATACTATGGCACTGCTAAACATGTTGATAATAGAAACTACTAAAATCTTAGGATATTGGACTTTTGGATAAACCGCTGTTCGCTGGATGAGGTTTATCGAAAAAAATCAAAAACCTGCACATTTTTTTTGTCGAGAGCATCCTTAGCGTGCCACAGTTTAGAGATGCTTTTTTGAAAACAAAGAGTTTTGGAATCAGCGTTGGATGCTCTTCAGATTGGTATACGTTACATTGGAAAAACCACACGGCTTTGGGGCCTCCCCTAGTTAGTAGAATTTGGAATCAGTATTCCGATGGAAGCCTTGAATTTTGACTTTGAATACTCACGCAGATCCCTACTTATATATTTGAAGGACGTGCGTTATACTACAAAACCTCTCCGAAGCTTGCCGCCATAATCGGCACACGCGCCGAGCTAGCTGTCTGTATCCCGCCCCCATTTAGCACCGGTGAGCGTGAGCATGAGGAATCGCGAGAACGCAGCCTTGTCAGCTTCGCCGCGTTGCGACGTCGCGCCACGATGTTGCGAATCTTACAAAAGTTACAAACTCTGATAAAATTCTTCTTTCAGACTTTAACGTGCTGTATCGTCCGTCGCACCGCATAAGGTGAAAGTTTTGGAAACTCATCAATGCCATGTTTTTTAATTTGATCTATGTTCGTTTGTATTAAGTTGTAAAGAAAGTTCCCGGGCATTCTGGAAATTTCAATTTCAAACGCATTTTTTGTCGCTCTGTCGGACTTTGATGCCAAGTTTGTAATACCGTTCGTAGAGAGAAACCTAAAGTTTTCAATACGCTTTCTGACTTTTAACAATGCCAAGACGTGTTTGATCTGAGCATCAAGAAGAGAAATCTTTCCAACCACAAAAATTTCACAATTTTTCTTCCTACGGCCATTTTTTGTGCAATCAGAAGAATTTCGTCCAAATCATGAGGATCTGATTGCGAAGCCTGTTAACTTCTGACCCGCAGGTGCCTCGAGTTTTGCGATTTGCGCTCAGAAATTACAAGCTGTCGAACTTGCCTCTGACTGCAACTCTTTTCGCAGCTGGCGTCGCTTCTGCGGAGATCGCCACGCCTGGATGATGGCTTAAAAGTTGTGCAAGGCATTACTTCACCAATGTTGCCAGTAATCAAAGATTTGATCCTCCGTACAGAAGTAGAATACTTCAAAGTCACTTGCTCGAAAGATGGTGCATTTTTGGGGAAAAATGGTCGATTTTCAAACTTTTTGAGAAGTTTTTTTTCCAGGTGGCCTTTCAATTCATGAATGGTCCCCATAACAGCCCTAGCAGACCTCTATATAACTACAGCATCTGGGCTTTCCAGCTCTCATCCTGCCTGAGATAATCCTGCACAAATAGGCCACTTCTCGCGACGACGTTTTTTGCCCTTCTGCGCATGCTGGTTAACCACAGTGAGGTGCTGACAAGGAAATGGTCAAAATTCGAAATGGCCAATCTTAGCAATCTGTATACCGTTGAACACTCCAGCAGGGCTGGGTACATTCTGCCTTTATTATCTGCTTCTCGGTCTCATACACGAAGTTATGGCCCTCGATTCTGAACCGAAAATTTTATTTCTTACCGTACAAACTCTCTTGAGAATAGAGGTGATACGGTGAGAGAAAGAAGAAAACTGTTGATGAATAAGACTGTAAGAACGAACAGAAGCAAGCGCAAGAAAGATGTAGCTGAAAATGATAAACAGAAACCTAATTTTTGGTTTGAGATAGATTCTTTGGGTCAAAAGGCTTGAATACGCCTTTTTATCCGGATTGGCTCGTACTCGCAACTTACAGAAAAAATGAAGTTTGCGAAGTCTTCAAATGTTGAATTGTCTTTTTAGCAGCGTTAGAGACTTCGCGCTAGCAATATAGATATTGGGAAGTTGCAAAAGAATAGCAAGCAGAAGGAATCGAACTTGCAGTCAAAAAGGCAGCTGGTCCTATGAGTACACTTACCACTGCGCTATGAGTCCCCTGTCTGCTAGTTGGGCGAGCGGTACTTATGATGCCCGGCGGTCCCATGGCGGAATCGAGGGCCATAACTTCGTGTAAGACCGAGAAGCAGATAATGAAGGCGGATATGTACCCAGCCCTCCATGGAGTGTTCAACAGTATACAGCTTGCTGGGGTTGGCCACTTCGAATTTGGACCATTCCCTTGTGAAAAGCCAGTAAGACAAATATATGTTGTGGAGAAAATTGTCTCTGCAATGAAGTTCGTAGCTTCAAAAAAGAATCAATCTGCTTGAAGTTGCAGCGATTCGGAAAAATTTTCGCAAGTGCCCGGGAACTTTCTTTACGACCTAATATTTCCAAACCAGTGCCTCACCTTTGCCGGCAGAGGCTCACACTAGCTCTTCTATGTGCCATACTCATTCCCGCACAACATGGCATTGAAACATATCGCGCAAGGCCTCTTTCACGAATGAAACGTAAAAAACCACTCATTCCGCAAGCTTTTTTGTGTGAGGTCGGTATTTTGGGTGGATGAAACTCTGTAAGATGAAAAACGAATGCAGAACTGAAATACTTTTGAATTTTTTCATGGTTTGGTAGTCGAAATAAATATAATATCCATGGCGAGCTACATCCCAGTGCAAAAATCCTCTCAAATGCTCAGGTAAAAACCTGGCAAATTGACCATTTACGTAAATAATCGTTTTGGCGTCTTTTTCTTGGAGTAATAGACTTTCATCACTTTTTTGGGTGCAAGATTCATCTTCTTCATGGCTTGCACTATCACTTGCCAAACATAATCATGACTTTGCAATAAGTGGTATTACGGACACAGTATTGCGCGCCAGACGTTAATTGGATCCGTTTGGAATGCGATTTTTGAGAGACCTACTCAATAGATCTGCTCTGCTTTGGCATGGTGAATCTGGATGGTGGCAGTGCGTGTTGTGCAAAAAATTGTGGCTTGAGACCTTGCCTGCGACCCGTTCTGTGAATTTAGTTAAGACAGACAGACAGACAAACAGACAAACAAACAAACAGACAAACAGACAGACACACACATACATACAAAAAAAGCACATAAACACTCTTAGCCCGTTATTATGAGTCATGACAAAAACAAAACATTCGTTTGACTCCGAAACTCCTTAGTGTTTCTTCGGTTTTCTTTTTTTTTGTTTCACGCCTGTTTTTGTCATGGCATAGTTACTTAGTTGTCATTGCAAGCTCTGACCTGTGGCATAGATTGCAAGTTGAGATTGGTAACACAACGATGATGACGTGCAGACTTAACCTATTAGGACAAAAGAAGATCGCTGATGCCAAAACGTATATAAATCGAGATTTGATTGCTCAGCAACGTACATGTTTTAAACGCCTTACGCTCCTTATTTTTTCTTTTAATCTTCAAACACGGACAGTCAGATGATAAGACTTGATAAGAGAATTTTATTCCTTTGATTTTATTTGAACAACGAACATGAATCAAATATAAGCTAGGAATTCACAGGTTTTTTTCGAAGTTTCACCTTATGTGATGCAACGGACAATACAGTACGTTAAAATCTGAAAGAGAATTTTTTCTGAATATTTTCATGTAACTTTTGTAAAATTCGCGGCATCGCGGCGCGACGTCGCGCGACAAAGCGGACGAGGCCGCGTTCTCGCGATTGCCTCATAGCTCATGCTCACCGGTTCTAAATGGGTGCGAAATACAGTAAGCCAGCTCGGCGCGCGTGCTGATTATGGCGGCGAGGTCTTCGTAGTATAACGCCACGCCGGCATATATTTAGGTGTTTGGTGGTCTTTCAAGAGCTGTATTATAAACAGTACATTTTTTTGGCAGATGATGCTGTAAAATGAAACAAATATGATCGGGGCGATGATCGGAACCTGCGGGGCATACTGCGAAATAATAATACGGCCATACTTTTTGGTGTTCACTCTGCCACTGTAGCGTGCTATGCTCATACTATGCCATTCTGATTCATCATCGCAATGAATTATAGAAGATAACGTGTAGATTAGACGACTTTCTAGCTGATTTCGCAGTATGGCCTGCGCAGGTTCCGAACATCGCCTCCCGATCATATTTATTTCATTTTACAGCATCGTTTGCCTTGGAAAGCAATCATAGATGGGTTTGATAAACTACTAACTATGTATAGACTTGAAGAAGAAGATGCTTCGAGCGTTAAGGTAAGTCTGGATACAAAACTCTTTTCATTTGTTTGCATCAGAAGCGACTTTGCAGTCATACATGCAAGCAGTGTTGTTTCCATTTTACCGTGAAATCGTGTTGCAACTTCTTGGTCAAGAAACAGAATTTGGTCAGAGTATAGCAAAACGGAACAGCAGGCTGCCTCCGAGGGAGCGTATCGTTGGAATGATGTCGGAAAGAAAAAGATGGAAATCCGTTATTGACATGTGAGCGTACAACTGTACATCGCTGCTGATGGCATATAATCTTTTGCTTACCAGCCTCTATGCAAATAATGGCTTCTAAACCTATACTCAGTTAAAAAATGGTAATAATTCGAAGTTTCTAGTTCATCACCAATAATATTAGTCTGGCATTTTTCGGAACAGTCATCTATTTGTGCTGCCTGCGAGCTTATACTATACCTTTAGGAACAAAATGCCTTTCTGAAACTTTCCTTTTTTGTACTTTTTCGGTATGGTTTAGGCCACTGATTCCCGTTGATGAGACAATCTGTATTTGCTCTGCACTCCATCCCTTTCTCATGCAGTTGTAGGCATGATTGGGCAACGGCACACGTCACCTTTGCCCTTCGTGCACTGAGAGCGTCTCATGGCCTCAATTAATGTTTAAATGAGGCTCATGCCCCGTCCACAAGCACCAGTGAACACACAATCCAGAGAAATAAAAAAAAACTGATTATGATTCGACACCAGTTTTACAACGCAACTGTGGTTTACCGTTTTGAAATGTCAAATGCCACATTTCTGGTAAAACCTGAGGGGCGTCCAAAATCAAGACTTGTGATAATTTCATCTCCGAAGGCTTCTAGAATCGAGATGGAAAAACGGTCTTACAAGAAGGATGAAAAGCTGCATAGAATGAGTTGCTGCGCTTCGTTTGATATATAAGGTTTAGCATGACATATGCAGTCTTTTTCAACTCGGAGTAGGTGAAACGTTCGATGTGGAGCAGCGCGTTCGCACCGCCACTGGCTCAGCGAGATAGATTAAAATGAAGAGACCCAGAACGCAGAGCGGCGCGAATCGTTGCGAAGCGAACTCCCGCCAGTCCGATTCCCGCCTAAACTGAGTTGAAACTTACTATAGGACTGCATCAAAAAATAATCTCGGAAGATTCAACCAGCTATAAATGTCAGAAAAATGTGTTCTCAGGGATTCGCGCCGTGCGAGCGGTCCTCCTGTAAGAGCTAGCGTACAAGCGGTCGACATAAGCCTGAAGCTTCCGTGCTTGCGGCAAACAGCTGAAGCGCCGTCCTAGCAGCAGGCTATGTTACCGTGCAAACGGCACAATACAGTTGCCCGAGCGAGCGGCCAGCAATGCTTCCGTCTTATCGGTCGGCAATACCTGTTGCCGTGCAAGCGGCCAACAGTGACTTCTATTTTCTGCTCACTATTTTCACACACTGTGAGCATAAACAGTACCTGCGTGAGATACGACGCAGTGTTTAGGCTGGCTAAGCGTTGACATATCGTGTTATCAACATTTCCTTTCACCAGCAAGGCTAGAATGAACCCGTGTGAGGCTACAGTTATCAGGAGTGATGGTGTGGGCTTCACCCTGTAAAGTTTGGCCAATGCTGCAGGCATCGATCCATGCTCCCAAAATGTGAGAAGGATTGATCTATCCAAGAAAAATGGTCAAGGTATCCCATATACATTCACTCCAACAGCAAGCGAGCGGCCGACCTTCCCCGCGCAAGCGGCGAGGCATAGAGACGTGCGGGCGCCCCACGTTAACCGTGCCAACGGTCCTTGACGACCGTACAATCGCACACACATCGACGAGCGATTGTAAGGTCGTCGCTGGCCGCCCGCACGGCGCGAGTCCCTGAGTTGTACTGTATTTCGCTCATCTTATTCGTTTGTCATCAAAGCTCTTCAAAAGTAGGAACGAGAGCTTTTAAAACTGCTTAACTTGATTATGGTAAAAACATATGTTCGCAATTTTAGTGTTCATGTTCACTCTATTGACCATATCATTTTATAATAAAGAATGGCAAGGTTCCGCACTTACATGTTGACAAGTTACGGACTGAGGCGAGTGATTGCCGAGGGTGCGGAGGGTACAGATTTACCAACAAGGCTGGCGTGTTTTCGTAGGGGGTGAGCATCGTCCCTCCTCGGGGAATGTTTTCGATAGGGGTGTGACTACTAAGTGCAAAAAGGCTATAATGTGGGGAGGTGCCGACACTCTCGTAAGATTGCTAACAGTACCCCCCCCCCCTCTTTCGCAAGATTGAACCCTGCGCGTATGACTGAATTCCTTGTTTTGAGTCTTTGGTATTGGAGCCCCATGCTTGTCTAGCTTTCGACATGCTGTATAGCCGCACGTTCATGTACATGCTGCAACAATCTGCTCACTTCTCATTTTCCTGTTGAAGTATCCATCTCTGGTTCAATAAAAGACTAATGAGGACAGTTCTTTCGTTGTTTCTCGAAATATTAGTTTGTTACTATAAGTCTTTAAGAAGCTGGTAGGCCTCTACATTTTTCTATCAAAAACGATGCGTTGGCGTTCCATAGAGCACATCTTACCGCAAGCGGCTCGTAGAGCACGTTTGTAGGGATTCATAGGGCAGTGCCCTTCATAGCAGTTTATTTCTCAAGACACCGGTCTGCGAGAGGTCCATAGGGCATTCAAATTGTAATCAAGGGTCGCGTTCTGTAGGCGACCCGTAGGGTGATTTTTTCTCAAATATGGATTTGAAGGCGCTGGCAGTCCTTTCTGAAAATATCAGTTTCTTATAAGGCAATAACTTTTTCTATAAACATCGGCCTTTTGCTATTTCAAAATATTGGTTTAGGGTAGGGCGGTTTTTCCTTGAAATGTTGGTTTTTGAGTGGTTCTTAGAACATTTTTTGCAGATTTGAGGGTTTTTGGGGCGGGCTTTTTTGAAAGATCGGTCTGTGTGCAGTGCATAGGCACGCTTTTCTCGAAGTCTCGAAGGGCGACCCGTAAGCGGCCCGTAGGGCATTTTTTTTCAATATAATAAAAGCTCACAGGGCAATTTTTTAAATATTTTTTTTGAATTCTTAATTTGTAAGCAGCCCACAAGACAGCACTTCCCCAGTATAATAGTCTGTAAGCGGCCTATAGGAAGACTCTTTTGATAGTTGGTTATAGATCTGCAGGGACCCAAAGGGTAGTTTTTTCTTGAAATAACGTCTAAAGCAGTCCCCGGTCATAGACGTAATTTTGCTTTCTAAAATATTGGTTTATACCAAGGGAGACCTTTTATGGCAGTTTTGTCCCAAAATATTGTTTGTAAGGTCTCGAAGAGTACAGCCAAAATAACATTCTGTGGAAAGGGCCTTAGGGAAGTTTCGCTTTTTAAAATGCTGGGTAGGAGATTTATAGAGTTGTTTTTCGAATATTGGCTGGTGAGCGAATCACACTTTTTCCTTCTTATGAATTGTCATAAATATCGGTCGGGCGGCTCGTAGGGCAGTCTCTTTCTTCTATAGGAAAGATATGTCGCTCTGTAAGTCGTTAGTGGAACATTATTTACAAAAAAGATCTGTAAATGGCAATGGCATGAGAAAACAAGAGAATTTATTTTGGTCACCCAAATTTTCTGAGAACTCAGGTTTTTTTGAGTGAGTCTTTTGTACGATACATCCGTTTTGAGGTTGACTGCTTTCGAGGTGACTTTAAATGGAGATTGTCAGGAAAATTTGGCCAAGATGATTTATAGATGGGAGTCAGGAGTTCAGAATTCGCAAGATATTATGATAAGATAGCGCTAGCAAATGTTGCGATCATGGTCTATCATGGGTTTTTTTTCCAAAAGAAGACCTTGTTTTCATGATTCAATTTTCATCATAGTTTCATAAAATGCCAGCTGAAGGCTCCTTGAAAGTCACCTTATAAAAGGCATGGTGAGGGAAATCTTATTCTAGGAATGAATCTGTGGAGAGGTTTCGATGGGAGGTCGTAATATTCGAAACACTATCAACTTTTTGTTCTCAAATCCTCGTACGGTTGTGATAGAACTATCAAGAATTATTGGATGATTTGTAGAATCTCGGCGCTGCGACACTCCCTCATAAACTGGGATTTCACATGTAGCTCTAAGAAAAGGTGTAAAATTTGACAGATTCGTGGTCACAGCTAGACGGTTAATAAGTTGCCCCTGCTAAACTGTTAGCGGCCCATAGGGTCGCTAGTCTTATGTATAAAGCTGAATGTCTGTTTGTCGGTCTGTCTGTCTGTATGTATGTATGCATGTTCTGAATGGAAATTTTTATTTCTGAACCGATCCGGACCACTCAGGCACACATAAACTTCGGGCCCGGCCGGTGTCATAGGCTACTTTTCGTCATCCGTCATCGATCGATATCGATTTTTTTGCGGAGTTCACTTACGGGCTGGGAGTTTGCACAGAGGGGTAATCGAGCATGATGATTACGAATACAATATTAGTTTTCAGGATTATCGATTACTTTTATCGATTTTATCGATTTTTTTTTGTAAATTTTGACATGCGGGGCTGGGAGTTTGCACAGGGGGATAATCGAGCATGGGGATTCCGAATACAATATTAGTTTTCAGGATTATCGATCACTTTTATGGGGGAGGGGGGGGGGGGGTAAATCGAGCATGCTGATTACGAGTACAATATCTGTTTGGCGGCTATTCGGGCCTCAAAATTTTTTTTGTTTTTTCTTGTCGTAGAGCTTGCTCAAACTTCGTGTATAAAGTTTATCTTACATGCTGATTACGGATATCACAGTTCTCCGCAGAACGTCTCCCCGTGTGGTTACGGTAGGTGTACAGTAGGAAGTCAAAATCATGAACTCGGCTGGAGTTTGGTCCAGAGAACTCATGCGACATGCTGATCACGAATTTCATACTCTCTCTGCAAGGACCTTTTCATAGAGTTATGGTGGTTATACGGTATGGGGTCGAAAACATGGATTTGCTTTAAACTTCGTCTGGGTGGTCATTTAGCGCGCGGAACATGAATTTCATATTAATTTTGCAGGATAGTGCATTTTCTTGGGTTACGGTGGGTGTAGATGTGTCGAAGTTCCAGATTTGCTCAAAACCTTACCTCTAACGGTTCACAAGTATACTGCTTATGAATATGATGCTTGCTCACTGTCATAACGCATTAGTGAAGTTATGGTGAGTTGCAGGATCTGAATGGACATTTTTTCGCTTTCGGGCCAATTTAGATCCCAGATATTCTAGAAATGGGGGA